AATAAGGAGTCTAATAATTAAATCTACCATCAACTCAATTCTCATTTATTTTTAACCAAGTCCAAACCAGACCCCAGTTGTACCCTCATACAATTCAAAACATAACCTGTGACCATTTAATCTAATTGAAACGCCTAAATAGTCACTAATGTTCGAAAATTCCTAATTGCCTAATTTGTTCATAGAATCATATGAGCGAACTTGAACTCGGTAATTATTATTGACTGGCTACTGCTAGTCTTAACCAAATCGGTATTAGAATTAAATAGAAGTGAACTTGAAAATCATTAGTACTTATTGACTTGCCACTGCAAATCTCAATAAATTATTTTGAAGTTTTTGTTTTGTTTTCAATTTATTTCTATAACTGTCCCCTTGCTTGGCATTTACGTAGAGTGTTTGCTCCGGACAAAATGTGGTGTCTACAATGTTATATTACATCGTTGCTTATAATATCATTGTATGTTGAATGAGAAACTCAATTTATGTAATATGTCATTGTCTTAAGCATGTATGAAGTGGATTGGTCGCCCATCTGTACTCGACTTTATGCAATGCTTGATACCTTGGATCATTAATGTTATAGACCATCATTTTAGTTTCTGGAGGCCCTAAATAGTGATTTGTTATCCGTACTTCGTTGATTGAATGAATGAATGATTGATTGATTAGTATAGTGGCATGTAGCGAAAACATGCATGAGCTAATCCTAATTTCTATTGCATGTGGTGGAACTCAAATAGGATGGCCTTAGTGGAAGGGATAGAGATACAGGATAGAAGATGCATAATAGCTTATCATTATTGGATTAAAATTCATGATCATCTAGGATTATATTTCTTATTATTGTGTATCTTTACTTGTCTTTTACATGATTTCTTATGTTTTACGCATCTGGAGAAGCAACTAGCAAAAAGAACCTCAATCCTATCTATTTATGCTAAGTCATTGTTTGAGCATTAGATTATTAGATGTGAGTAACTATTATTAGAATTCCTTGTGGAATACGACCCTAGTCTTTTCTAAGATTTACTATGATTGCTTTTGGTTTGCACTAATATTACTACATACATGCACATTATAACTTTGAGTTCATACCGTGAACCGGCGACAAGAAGATTGGAAGAAACAAAAGGTTTCATGATCAGGCTCGAGAAACCCATGACCTAGAGTTCAGGCCGGCAAAAAATTGTCCAGTGATGTGAACTCCAGGCCACGACCATCAAGGAAGATCAAAAGTAAGCCGATAACGTTTTTGAGAACACAAACATTATCGGAGTTCACGATCGCAAACTCTCATGAATGATGGTTGTGAACTAGGATGAACTTGGGTCTCCATAAAAAGCTGAAGTGGTTCACTTAGAGGAGAAATTTTTTTGGGCAACATATTTTTAGAGAGCAGATTTTCAGAAAGAACCCCACTAGAGAGAGGGTTTCCCTTAGATGACGAGAGGAGAGGAAGCTTAGAGAACAAGTGGAGGCCTTCAATTTTGGAGCTTGAAGCCTTGTTTACATACTGGGGTCAAGAAGATGATGTTCCTTCTTCCTCCTTATAGAGTACTCCTTTTCCTTTTCTTGGAGTTTACATCTGGTATTTGGGGCAAATTGACTCAGCTCTTGTAGATGGACGTTAGGGATGAAATAATTGGCCTACTCCTCTTATTTGTGTGGTTATTATGTTAAATTACGACAATCTCTTTTGCATGATTACTTCATCACATTTGTTTCATCTCATAACTAGGTGATCAAAGAGTAAAGGAAATACCACATTGGTGGGAGAAGGAAAATGCAAGTTGTTTTTAAGTTTGCTTTCCACTTTAGTTATTGAATAAAGTGGTTAGTGGGCTTTTGGAAAAAGTGTGGGCTATTTAATTTGACATATTAAATTGCACTACACACTTAGCACTTTTGTGAATTTTTGGCATATTAATTACCGGAATTATTTGATTAATTAATCCGGGTAATTATTTGATTTTGACTTTTGTGAAACGACGTAACCCTTCGGAAGGGAACTGCCGTTTTCACTATAAATTTTGCAGCCGATGTTCTTGTCAGCGGCGGATCCAGGACATAAGAGAGCACTGGGCCGCATTTGAATAGAATATTAGATACCATATACAAAAATATATAATAATATAGTTTTCATTACAATGCCAATTGTACAAGAAGATCTTTTAATTTAACAAATTCATCAATAATATAATCTCCATCCATACTGATAATATACTCTTTTTCAAAGAAAATAGCTAAGTAATCAACGAGAAATTCATCGCTTATTTTGTTGCACAAATCATTGCTGAAAATATTCTCTCCATGGTAGTTGTTGAAACGGCTAGGTCAACACTAGACAAATCAACCGACAAATCAATTTGTATTGTGTGTCCATCCTTGTTTCCTCCAACTTCTCTAATAATTTTGCAAGAGAAGAAACTTCATCTTCCTCACATGAGTAGTGCATTCTCCAAAAAATGCATCTCATACCCTTCAAAATCTCGAGGCTAAACTCTTGAGCAAGTTTGTAAATATTTTCTTCATCAAAACACCAGAAAGAACGGTTAGAATCTAGTGCCCCACTCAATTGAGGAAATTTAAATGATAACTCAGCAAGTTTGTAAGTATTTTATTAATCAAAAGAATGGAAAGAAAACCAGCTCGACGGGCTGGAGGAGAAATCCATTTTGGGTCTGCCCGTCTCCTCGTTCTTGTTTTGTTTTGGGGGGATTGGGAAATTTTTTGAATTTTGCAAGGAAGGGTGTACTTTAGTTTAGAGTTTTTATTTTATTTTAATGAAACTTTACACTGTTCGGTTTTCATTTCTTTTTTCAAATAAAATCATTTGGGGTATAGATTTAGTATAATTTTAGAGTGATGGTTTGGATATGTTCATCTGAACCATTTTCCTAGTTACACGAAATTCTATTATCAAATAAAACTAAACAGGATTTTAACTAGCACTGGGCTAAATACCTAAATCGAAAAAAAATTTAAGCACTAAACTAACTCTGGATCTGGAGGGGGGCTGGGCCGGGGCCTAGGTTGGCCCAGCCCTGGATCCGCCACTGGTTCTTGTCCAACGTTCATCTTCTTCTCCTCGTTTTCCTTCTCCAAAAACACAAACACAGAAGTCACGAAAGGTGCTGCTTTCTGACTTTGATTGGAGGGACTCCTGGGGGTGATTTGCCTAAATCCTACCAACAACTAAGTAGTGGGGGCAAATAAACACTCTAAGGAGAGTGATCAAAATCACGCCTTCAATCCGTTTTTCTCCATACTGTTTCCTTGACAGATACTATCCACATACACCCGCTCTTACTTGAGTAACCGTTTAGTCACAAGTTAGTACATTTATCTTGTAGAAATTTTCCATCACACAATTGATAGGTTTAATAGTAAAAATATTTGAGGTAGCACTAGATCCTACAACCCGTTGGAATATGTACTCGAAGGTCGTCATTATGCTAAACCATCTAGTCAAGGTATACTTGACTTGATTACAAGAGTTAGAGTAGTCAGATTGGCGAGTTCGTTATAACTTGGTTCACTTGGCTTCCACAATAAATAAATAAAAATATTACGACATAAATGGTGGGTCAGACTGGCATACGTCAGGTACCACTAGTAAGATATATCTATCTAGACCATGAATTAAATCGAGTTTGGGGTATGATACTATACCATAACCTCTAATGGATAAATCCCATGCACCGATTTTCTAAACCCCAACCCGAAGTTTGATTTAATGAAAAACAAAAATTGACCGTTGAGATCGGCCGGAGTTCATCCAAATACATCTAACGATTAGATCACCTGTTGTATACTGTACGCCTGCCGTACACCAATCATTACCCATAAATGGTACAGACCGTTAATAATTCAAGATATTATTGTGATTTCAAAAAATCCATACCAGGAATGAAGTTCATCTATTATATTTTTTTGAGAAGAAAAAAACAGTGATTAGAAGTTCTATAAACCGGACAGATAAGGACAAAGGAAAAAAAGATTAGGCAAAAGAAAGATAATTAGGTATTAGGATTTTTGAATTATTAATTGAGTGAAAAGGGAAGGAATGCGGGAAAGCGAGGCAAGAGTGCATCATCTTCAAGAGCAAAATGCAACCCCTTTGATTAGCAGCAGCAACATAACAATAACATAAGCAAAGCATAGCACGCAGCAGACCAGCAGCAGGCCACAGGCAGCAACTGCCAAATCTACCCATATGATTGATCATTACCTTCCACACAGCCCTACAACGAACAAATAAATAATAATTATTAGCTGTAAAAAACAAGACAGCCTAACTAAAATAATGTTTGAAACCGTCCACGAGTCAAACAAAACATGAGAATATATTCCTCCGCCGATTTCAATAATTGTGGCATGCAGTCCATTCCATGCTTCTCTAGTTACACCTAATCAATTTTAATTAATTAGATAGATACTTTTTCAAACAGTTTAATCAAGTCAAATGCATTTCAGTTATAAGAGAGTCCGGCGACATCTAGTCCCTATTTGTTCATTGTAAAAGGGACGAAACAAAATAAAGATATAGAACGGTATAGAATATAAATCCCTTTTACATTTTCTTCTTCATCGTTTTATTCAGATTGATGTAGGCCGGCTAGGCTAACTAACATAACGAAACCATCACTACTTAACGGATCGTTGCTTTATAGGTTTGATGATGAATTTGATCATCAAAATCTATCTATTATGGAATTTGAATGAAAATTTATCGTTTGCCTTAACGAGTTAAAGGATGAAATTTGTAGGGCTCACGGACTTTGATCGTTTAAATTCGTGGACCCCAGGGATTTGGGAGTTCCACCTCTTAAGGTGGGATTTAGCGGATGGATTAAAATTCATGATGGTAGTTTACCCTTCTACCGTTACTTATTTTTTAATTACAAATTTGTCTTATCTATTTCAATGGTTATGCAACTGTAAACTTTTATAATGTCGTATTTTATAAATATGAGAATTTATCATTCCGTTTGTAATGTCATATTTTATTTAAATATAAACGTGTATGTTATTTGCTAGATTCAACTATAAACATCTTATGCTCATCTTGTGCATTATTATTTGATTGACTGGCACATTCCAAAACTTGGGGAGTTAGCAATAAGATGATGAATTGTAACAATAAAGCGAGCAACTAGTTGCAACTAATACATAATATTGCGCACATTATTAGATGAATTATTAATTAGTGACAAATTATAATTATTTGTCAGAAAGAAAAGGTGACTTCCTTAGAAATTTAGATCGCCTTTCAATGAATTTGCAATTTAAGATGATGAGGCCAACGACAGAAGTTTTAATATAGGCCTCAAAATCATATATGCTAGAAAAAACAGTGATGTTTATTATAACCAATACTACAAGTTAGGTGTAAGATGGTATGCATTGAACCTTCTCCAAATCATAAACAACCAAAACAAGGACCAAATTGAATAAACGTATTAACAAAGCCAAAACAAATTTAAGACCTCATAACAAATCTTGACATTGAATTGAATTCTCTTTAAAATTATTAATGGACAAACTGCAATAAAATTCATCATATTTATCTAGAATCTCCCTGCATCAGAATCCCCAAGGGTTATCATCAACTCAGAAACTTACGCAAGGTCAAGCCAGGTTGGAGCTTGCTACAGGAAACTGACTTGCTTAGGGATGGCGGATGAAAGGTAAAATTTTCCAAATACCATTGAATTTGAACTTCTCGAATTGGTGGCAGGGAAGGAAACCATCTTGGATCTAGTCAAGTATTTGTGGAGTAAGATCAATTCTTAAATTGGGGGCAAGGAAGAACATGGGAAGTGGTCGAACGATTTCATTGGAGAAAGATCCTTGGATTCCAGGTCTGCCTACTTTTAAACTTCAGCCTGGGATTAGGCAGCAACTATGGGCTTTTCAATGGATCATGGATGATGGTTGTGAGTGGAATCTTGATATCATTCGTCAAAGTTGTACAACGGCTGAAGTGGAGGCTATTAGGAGGATCCCAATTGGGAATGAGGATGCTAGGGATGATTGGGTTTGGCATTTCGAGAGATCAAGGATTTTCACTGTGAAATCAGCTTACCATGTGTTCAGAGAGTCAGAAAGGAATCGCCTTGGAACTCCGAATCCGAACCACCCTGACTGCACTTCCAAAGCTTGGAAGTGGTTATGGAGCCTTTCATTGCCCCCAAAGATCATCTCCTTTATTTGGAGGATATCGAGGAATGCGGTGGCTACTAAGAGGAATCTTTGGTCGCGTAGATGTAGCCCATCTCCGATGTGTCCGATTTGTGACTTGGGAGACGAGGACGTTAGGCACTGCCTCTTTCAATGCCCACACGCGGCTAGGGTGTGGCAGGCTAACCATCCTTCTCTTACCCTCCCCCAGGATGCGTGGCCTGTTGTTATGTGGCTTCTTGATATTCACGAGAACTCTCCTGCCTCTTCTATCCCGGCTGTGGTGGCCTGCCTATGGGCTATCTGGCTGGCTCGGAATGAGAGAGTGTTCAAAGGGATCATGCCACGTACTGCGGTAACCACGGTTAATGCGGTTAGGGATTTCACTTTTTGGAGGACTCCTTCTCAGCCTCCAAGCACTGTCGATTTCCAAGCCCAACATCGATCAAACCATACTGCACTCAGTCTACCGCCTAGTTCTTCCCATTGGGAAATTCACTGTGATGGATCTTTTAGATCGGAATCACAGGTGGTGGCATATGGGGTCATCATTAAGAATCCTCATGGGCAAGTTGTGGATGGTTGTGCTGGCACCTTCTTCTGTTCTTCAGCGATAGTTGCGGAAGCAAAAGCCTTGTTGACTGCTGTGAGAGTTGCTGCTTCTCTCCATTATCCAGTTTCTATCTTTTCGGATTGCAAAGTGCTTATTGACATACTACATGATCCGAGGAGAGTTGGCCCATGGCAGGTGAGGGCTTGGATTCAAGGGATTCGCAGTCTTCTCCATTTGTATCCAGGATTAGTAATCTTCTTTACACCAAGATGAAACAACAAAAGTACAGATTGGGTCGCTAAGGAAGCTGCTAATGGATCTCTCCCTCCGGATTGGATCCAAGTTTTGGATATTGTTTTTCCGTTGTTGTAATGTGGCTATGCTTGTACGATTATCGTTGATATGAATGGAAATCATCTATTTGTCAAAAAAAAAAAAAATTAGTGGCAGGGTACCACCGAACCTGGTACCACCCAAGTCAATGAGCAGTGTCTCTGTCCATCTTTCCTTCCACTTCAAATTTTCTTACTTTTAGTTACCTTTTAGTACCTAGAACTTCTAAAACACCCAAAATAATATAAATTCAATAAATATCATTCCAAAATTAGAAAACCAACTTATAGGTACAAAACTAATAAAAAGGCTACTGAAAATATTTCAATAAAACTAGAAAAATTAGGGAAAATAATGAATGAATATCAAAAAAATATAATAAAATGCTAGAAGTCAATAATAAACAACTAATATCAATATAATAAAAAAATAGAAAGAAATATATTCAGATTTAGAACGGGCTAAGGATACAATTACTAATATTATAATATACATAAAACAAAGAGAAATAGCAATAGGAAAATCAACTTCAGATTCAAAGGAAGTAGTTTTACCAGAAGAAGATCTTAATAATGAACCCAAATAATAATGAAAGTATTTGAATACTTCCCACAAAAAATGAGGAAAGTAATCAAAAGATATCTTGAGCTATTCCCCAAAGAATGAGAAATATTTCTCAAGTATACAAGCAACTACCCAATATTCGATCAAGACAAGCTATTGGTCGGAGCAAATGCAGTTATCCTTATGGAAATATCAAACCATGATTATCCTACCAAAGATGACCTACGAGATTATGAGAAAAACCCAGACTACCAAGTAAAAGGTCTTTCTAGCAGTATGCAGGACATTGACCAAGATTGAACTAGAAAGTCATATCAAAGTCAATTACAGCAGCCCCGATGCCATCATCACCAACAAAACTAGAGAAAACATGACCAAAGAAGAATGGACAATCATAACAGGTAAAATTAAGGAATTCACTGAAATTAATGGAAATCTGTCAGCTCTTCCCATCCAAATCAAGAAACAGCTGTGCAACGCACTTATTAATTTATGAGGAGTTGAGGACCACTTCTACGAGTGATGTGCATCAACTGACAAAGACATCAATGGACCAGCAGACCAAGACTAAGAAAGGCATGTGAAGAAACAGAAAGTACTCAAACAAACATGGTACAAAACGACAATAAAAGGTTGGCCGACTCCTTTAAAAAAAATTGTGCATTGTTGTATTTTATCATCTTTTCTTATTGTTTCACGCGCTTCTTTGACGTGTTAGCTTTACGTCTCTGTCTCACAAACGTAAGCAATGACGTCTTTGTATTTCCTCTCAACTCTATATAAGAGCATGAGTTTGCGATGAAATAAGGCATTTAGAGTTTGGCCATAAAAATTGTTTATTTACTCTCTCCCTCTAGCTTGCTAGTTGTAAGGCTTGGATCCCCTAATCCTGGAGGCCACAAACATCGTCAATATAATTAAACGTACGGAGAGTAGCAACAATCATCAAGCGATCAACAAAAAACTCAAGGTTTCCTTCAGAAGAAGAAATCTAGTATCTCTACCTCGAGTTATTTTGACTACTTAAACAAAAACGATGATGAAAACTACTTCTTAGATGGTGTTATAGACATCAAGAAAATTAGAGAAAAAACTAATTTTACTATTTTGGAAACTTTATCAAAACTATTTGATAGATAAAACATTATTAAATATGGTAAAATGATAGGTGAAGTAGCAGTCCCTATGGATCAAACTAAGGGCAATTTTCTAATCCATGTAATAAATAGGGAACAACTTAGAAAAAGATTAGCTAGACTAAGATCAGAAGAAGAAAATAAAATAGCTTATATTTATATTAGTACAATTCAAATTATCCTAAAATCAACGATGAAAATAGGAATTGACGCACCCATGGAATTAGAAATTCGTGATGATAGACTCATTAATAAAGAAGAAAGTATTATTGCCAAAGGAACAGGAGATTTAGGAATAGGAATAATTAAATTTGATATTAACCTATCAGAAGGATTGAGTCTGGCAGATGGCAACACTGACTCTTCTATTATTATAAAATATGAATTAAAAGAGAACATCATACGAAAGAAAATAGCAAATCATTTTCAGTAACTTATCAAATAAACTATGTGTTAACAAATAGCCACATCCGGTTGAACCAACAAGGGATACTACAGTTGAATAGGGGCAATGGATGCACGTTGAAGCTTGAATGGCAATCCAAACAAAAGAAGCACGACTATGCCTATCTCAAAGTAATATAAGAAATAGCACCCCATGGGGGGAAGCCCCATGTATGGCACCAAACTTAATGATATTAAACAAATGTTTTACGCAGGAGAAAACCTAGATTTCTATTTATCCTTTTTCTTTTGATTTTCATTCTTGTTGAATTGTGAGTTTATCATTGAAGGATGCTTATAACGAGTTTTTATCATTTGAATAGGTGATACATATCAATGGAGAATTTCAAAAAAAAAATTGAAATGGAAGGATTTGATGGAGATTGGATGTAAGAAATTCATTTTTGTACTATCCAGCTAAGTGAATTGATGTAAAAATGTATGAAACTGACAAAAAACTAGGTTAACCAACCACGACGGCAACATGACATAGTATAATCTAATTGAGCACAATTGAATGGTTTATTATTCATTGATGATAGCTAGTGTGCTTATCATGTGATATTGTGGATGCTTATTATGTTGGATTGTTGAATTTTAGCAAAGTTCATGCAAAATTTTTCTAAAATATGATATTCGCATATGATGAACATATGTCTTTAAAGTATTGATGCTTAATGAGTTGATAGTTGAATTTAATGTGATTCTACTTGTGCCAACTATTCAATAGAAGGTATGTACCATTGATGATCATGTGAATTTTGATCCACCAATGCATGCTTGATTAGGATAAATGGTTCATCTAAACTACTTTTATAAGCTTTTAATATTTCATATTCTTATGTGATTCAATGCTCGATGAGATTAGATGAGTATGACATAGTATAATCTAATTAATGTTTATCTTAGAATGTTTACATAATTAGCTTGAAGAAGCTTTATTTGAAGGGTGGTGCAACTTACAAGGCCCACTTTCTCATTTGGCTACTTTCTAAAATGCAGGAAAGAAGAGATCATTTAACTTATTAATGGGATGTGACGAGGACAAGAAGAAGGATGATGGTTGATAACACTCAAATTATAGTGTTTATCACTCCCGTATTTGATAAATTTTCCCCTTCTATCAGTGCATCTTTAGGCCAAATTGTAATTCACCCAATCCAATTTAGTTGAAGTTTATACTAAGGAAAGTCCTTAGGTAATTTGGAGTCTCGACTAAAGTGCTCCATATCTCTTGAATAGAATACCCGGCGGAATACTATCCTCCATCGAAATATACCACCAAGGCAGTGCAAACAGGCTCCCTCCACTAGATTTTGAATCCAGTACAGAGCAATGAACCGATTGACTCTCTTACAATCGATTCACTACTTCCAATTCAGGTTGCTCTATTGACCTATTCAGAGACTATCGTTCTAGGTCGAAGCATGAAGCATACAAGGTTGGTCAGGACTCAAGGTGAATAATTCCTCAATTGAATATATAAAGATCATCAGTTGGCCCGCTCGAATTTCCCGTTCTGGCATCCATTTTCCCCGGTTGGGTAAAACCACCATCTAACCAGGTAACAACTCCTATAATTGTCCCTGGTCTGATCTCTCAAATCCCCGATCGGGTAATCAGGGCCCCAGGCAGGGTAATCTGCCTTGTTCAAGCAAGAGAACCCTTTCAATGATCTTGCATGGCATCTTACCCTCCAAACCGTGCTTGATGACATGAATGGGAAGGTGAAGGGAGAGGTTGTGGAGGAGGAGGTGAGCTTTGAAAAGGAGGAAGATCTTGATTGTTACCAAGGGGAGGAGCAAATTTTGGAAGAAGGAAGAGAGGTTGAGGTTGAAGATGCAGGGAGTGTCCAAGATGAGGACGAGGTCGTGATGGATGAAGCTTCTATAAGTTACAAGTGCTACCAAAACTTTCCACCCGACATTGATGCGCTACTTGATAAGGACCTGTTTGCGGCTCGTTGACAAACCAAGGCCAAACCATCATTGATCCCTCTTGGTGGATGTAATGGTGGTTAATCCATGATGTTTTACATGGTGTGGGTCAAAGGGAAGAAAGAAAAAGGAAAGAAGGAGAGGTCTCGTGGGTGGAGCCTCAAAACTATCCAAGTTTGCGAGCCCTCAATCATGGAATCATTCAAAGCTCGTGAATACATCACCGACTAGAACCTCAACTTCAAGGAGGTTCGAGAATGGACGAAAACTTGAGGAGCAACCATCCGGCTCACGACGTTAAAGAATCACGTGTTAGGAGGCAACCCATCCCATCAATTTGTTTTCTTTTCTCTTCAATAAGGCAACCTTTGGGGAGCTTTTGGTGTTTGGGCGTGGCCTTGCTCTTCCGGATCTTACCTGACCTCAGATCCCGTCCACCAACATTCACTCTTTATCCGGTAACATCATTCTACCTCCTTATTTTACGGCATTTAGGGCAACGTCGAGCTTAAGTGTAAGGGGTATTCTATTATGCTTGTGTGTTTGAATGATTGGTGTGACTTTGAGTGCCTGGAGCCTAGTTGATTGTCCAAATTTAAAAATTTGAGGGCTCCAAGCAAAGCAACTTCTACATTTGCATGATCATAGTGGCACTTTTAGTGTTTTGTTTTGAATCTCGTGGCTATTAGCATTGATATATGGATGACTTATTTGTGAACGAGAACAACCTATGATGATGACTGAGTTATGCATTAGGGTTGTGTAAACGTTCAGTTCTCATGTGTTTGCGAACTAATGGATGTTTTTGATTGATTACTGACTCTTTACAATTGCTTATGCATCAAAATTGGGAAGTCATAGTGCCGCTCGTTTTTATTCTTGTGTGATAGATCCCTCTTACCATGATATGTATCATTCACGTTGTATCAAGGAAGATGGAGGCATAGGTTAGCCCACATCCCAAAAATTGACTTGTCCCGATTACAGTATCCCCTAGTCAACCCTTTTGAGTCGTGTGTGCTAGGGTCACTCTTCTGTTGTGTAGCTCTCGCCATTTGAGCTTAACTAAGATTCAATAGAGTGATCCGTACTTTCTTCGTGTCTGCACCATTGTTGAGTCAGCTTTGTGTTTGGAAGTCCCATAATTTGAGCTTCATTGAGGTTCCACATAAGTGATTCTTCCATGGTTCCTCTTAAAAAAGAAAAGTGATTGTTGGGGGAAGTTTTTAAAAGTGAGCATTGTTCATAAAGTTCAAGACGTGGCATGTGTTCTTAACTCTCTTCTTCCCCTCAAGAAATAAATAAAAAAGTAATGTGGGAAAAGAAGAGCTGCCACCAAAGTTGTTTATGCTCTAAAGGATTGTTTCTTAGCAATCATGCTTAGAGATACCTACATGATTGATTACCTCCTTGACTCTTGTACTTAAAATTTTCGATAGCAGTTGTAGCAAAAGAAAGTATGTGTGAATACTGTTCGTGATTGGTTTGATTTGGATTTGTGGAACCAGGTGGTTTGTAGTTGTTGTGGTCTTTGGTCATTGTGAATAGGTTCTAGGTGAAATTTTGGAACCTCATGCTACATGTGCCACAACCCAAAAAAGCCTTTTTCCATGTCCTAGACCTTAGCCATACATTTGAACCCGAGTCTAAGACCTCCGGACAAGCTAGTAGCGAGACCCATCTTATGAACTCTAGCATTTAGAGGCTACTGTCATGTGAAGAGACGATAGGGCTGAGCGTATGAGTATGCACATATGGTCGAGAATGATCGATTCTTTCTTCATATTATCATGTACCTCGTTGAGGACCTAGATTGCTCGGTCGTTTATTATGATGACATGATCTTTATGCATGAATGACTGTAATTTGGTGAGTCGTTTAGACAGGTTACGTATTGGTTTGTGAACAAGGTGAGAACTCTACCTTTACAAGGTTCTATTGCATTCGAATGTCATTTGTGGTGGTTATCAGGATTATTGTTGTTGTTGTTGTCCATATGTTAGTGTCAAGTAGCCATTGTGATTCACATGTTTTGTGCCACTATAAAATGCCCTTAAAGTTTTTAATAAAGAAGTTGTTAGCTTACCTTGTGTTGTACTTGGTTTGCTTGGGGACAAGCAAACGTTCAAGTGTGGGGGAGTTTGATTCGGGCATAATTACACATATTTTATCCCCCGTGTCTCGATTGTTTGACTTGGTAATCATCGTCTCTCGAACTATTTTACGCTAGGTTGTGTTCCTTTTGACATATTTCAGGTCCTAGAACGTATGGAAAGGTCGAGGATGATTCCGGGAAGATTGGAGGTCGAAAGAGACAAAGTATGAAGAAAGTGTAGAGATCACGGACTGGGAGTGAATATCACGGTCACAATCCGTGAACATAACACCCAGGGCGTGATCTGCGTATGCTTCCAGGAAACTTCGGATGGCTCGTAGGCAGATTCATTATCACAGTCACAAACTGTGATCTTTGCAAGGAAACTATTAAGTAGGAGCCAAAAAGACAGTGTCTTCAGTTGAGATCATGGGAGGGTTGTCGAGATCACGACCGTGATCCCAGACCTTGACAACTGCACTCAGGTTGTATAAAAGGTAGCATCTGGGAGAGAGAAAGGGAGAACTTGGCTGGATTTGGAATTTTGGGGTTCTTCTTTAGGGTTCATACCAAAATGCCTAAAGGGGCATTTCTAGAGAGAGTGGTATTGAGTGATCTTGGAGTTAAATTGGAGGCTTGGGTTGATATTGGAGTCAAGGATTCAAGCCTAGAAGAAGAAGCAGATGAAGATCTTGAGCTATTTTGTAATCTCTCTCTTCTCTCTATGAATTAGATCTCTTCTCTTACGTTACCCTAGGTATAGATCTTGGTATGATGTTGATGTTATGTAACATATCATATGTTTGATTGATCATTTTGTTTAGTTGATGGATGGTTTTCATGGATTACATGAGTTTGGATTCCATTTCATGTCAATTGAGCTTTTGGCCTAGGAGGAAGATAATCTCCGTAGAGCCCATTATTGGTGTCTTCGGGTCACTCCAATCATATGTCGTTCTGGGTAATCCCCGAGGGATTCGATAGAGTCAATTTCTTGACGTTGTATGAATCCCTAGGTTGAACAGAGCACTACCATTCACCACTACGCCATTCCGAGTCAATACCCGAGGGAGTATAGCTCCTAAATAGTAGATGGATAAAGTCAATCAAGCTAGGATAGCACTCAACATCGGTCCAAATGACAAAACTAGGGAGATTCAAGCTGAGAGAGCTCCAAAACTTGTAATCAGGTTGGCTATATAACGAAAACTTAATTTGAAGTATGGTACATCTAGAGACCAGTGGTTCGATATTTTTTTCTTGCTTACCCCTATGCTACACTTGGTCGTTTGTTATGCTTGGTCGTCGATTGGGATGTGTAGTTAGAGTCGATTCAGTAGTACACCTCAAACAACACACCCGTGAAAAGCAAAACCAAAATGAAACAAAATGTAAATACTAAATTAACAATAGTTCACTTTGCCAAGAACTTGACTCACTACTAACTACTCTTTCAATCGAAGGCCAAGTATCACCTCCAGTCAGGTGTAGTATGGTGTAAGTAAGTTTAATTTATCAACAGGGGCTTTAAGTTTACTACGAATTGGTGCACTTATCGTTATCTAGCTAACAAGATGTGGTTTGGATTAAGCCACTAAACATGCAAAGCAAAAAAAGATTGATTTGAATTCAATTGTACGAAAATCACTCGGGTGTGCTTATCTCTAGCCTTAAATTAGGTTTATGTTGACTTCCCCTAGCTTGCCCACTCTAGATTTATACCGCGAAGAGCTCTATACTAACTTGAACACCTTATTCGAGTTATCCAAGCCCACTGAAATGAACTACCTAAAGGGAGAGTTTCTATAGCTGGCAAGTATAACATCGAAGGCGTGTAATTCGACTCTCACTGAAGGATCTTGATCAAATACGACAATATAGACCAATATCAAACTTGTTCAACTGACCCACAATGAGGAATTGAAGATGATGTAATCAACCTAATTGGATATTCTCTACCTTAGGTCAATAGCTAAAAATTGAAGAGTGTGATCCATACCTAATCAATTTCATGATAATATCTCAATTCAATATATAATCAATAGTGTAACAAGTATAGGAGTCATTCAATATCATACTCTAACATACATGGCTAGAAATCCACACACCCAAGTGAGAATGGAGTTTATTTCATAGTGATAGAAAGAGACACATGATCGAGGTGACATTCGGTCAGTGGAACATGCTAGGAGGGGGCTATTTGCATAAACATTGAGCTAGTCTCTATATAAGTGAGTCCCACACCTTGTTTGCACAAACCAACATTATTAACCTTTTGCATGATAGAACTATATTCTAATTCTAGGAAGAGGGTGATGCCCTGAGTACCTGTTTTTATCTCTGCTTTCTTAAGCTAGTATTTACCATTTGTTCCTCCAAAAACAAATCTAAATCGAACGACTAGATAACAATAAAATGAGAAGTAACCTATGCGATCGAGACTCGTGGAACACGACCTTGGTCGACCACTATATTAACAACGTCATCTTGAGTTATTCTTGGCTTAATAGGGATTAGTTAATACAACCATGCAATCGATTGAATAACCATCACAGATGTCACACCATATTCATTACGTAAAAATGTCATCTTTTATACAACACGATTTTACAACTATTGCGTAAGGCAAACATACGCTACGTAAATATTATGTGATGACTAATTCATATTGTGTAATACGACCTGTGAAACCGGCTATAGCAGGTCAAAATTTTCAAGTTACCTTGGTTGAAGGCGTTGTAAGAATTTCCAGTAATTTAAGTTGACGTAGCTAAAATATGGATTATTTGCGATTGACATGCAGTACATATGTGCTTACATGTATGTTCACGAACCTTATTCTTTAACGTTGTTAAGTTTTTTTTATGGTTAATCAAAATTTTCATTAAGCACAGGCAGCTCTTCGAGTGCCTCTCAAACAAACAAACGTTCACAAATCAGAAACAGTACAATAAAAAACCTATAAACAACCTAATCTGATCGCACTAAGGCTCTTCTGGAGGTCAAAGTCAATCTCCGCCCGCCATTTCAAAACTCTTCCAACTTCTCTGCAAAGAATACCTGGGGTTTTAACAGACTGCACCCCATACAATCTTGCACAACGCTCCCGCCAGGTAAGGCTGACAGCGAGACTCCAAACAGCACGACAAGCAACTGCTGCAGAACTCTTCCCTTTCCACTCACTGGCACACCAGTCGATCACCTCCTCCCATGTGCCCAAGCCACTAACAGGGGCCAGAGATGCCACACAACTTGTAACAATGGCCTGCATAAAGGGGCAAGCATAGAAAATATGACAGCAGGTCTCAATTCCCCCTGGATAAAACACACAGAATCCTGAAACCGGTTTTCCCCAAGCGAGTAGTTTGTCCTGAGTACGCAATCTGCCCAGGATAGCTAACCAGAGAATAATGCCATGTCGATGAACCACTTCCTTACTCCAGACCAGCTCAAACCAACCAACAGGTGAATCGTGCAACCTGAGGGAGTCCCACGCCCTTTTTACAGAGTACCGAGCCATAGGTTCGCCATCCCAAAGAGTGAGGTCCCCCTGATTAGAGACAAAATGTTGGATATCAGACCGACATCTCAGCAAACGTTTCCAAACCCAGGAACCAGCTGCTCCCTCCTTCAAATCCCAAAACGACTTCTGCTTGATGCGATAACGTTGCACCCATGCCACCCATAAAGAGCCACTAGATATAAGAACATTCCACACATGCCTGACCACACAAGCCTTATTCCAAACCACAAAATTCATAATCCCCAGACCTCCTTCCTTCGTCGGGCGAGCAACAACCTTCCAGGCAACCAGTGCAAGTTCTCAAACTAGCATCAGTGACATCCCAAAGAAACTGGTTGCATATTCTCTCAACTTCAGAGATGACAAACTTAGGAAGCAAAAAATATGTTCATCCAATACTGCAACACACTAGACAATACCGAACTGATAAGTTGAACTTTACCCGCAAAACTCAATAGCTTAGCCCTCCACCTTTGGATTCTATGAGTTATCTTATCCATCAAGACCTGACAATCTCTTCTAGATAGTTTACTAGTGATTAGAGGAACTCCTAGGTACTTCACAGGAAGCTGACCTAAAGGGAATCCTGAATAAACAGAAATGGACTACTTTTCCTCCTCTGGGATTCCTGCACAGAACAACTGGCATTTTGCAGGATTGCAACGAAGACCAGACAAGGTGTAAAACTCTTCCATCAATCTTATAATGCCTGCCACCCCACAAATTGACCCATTTGTAAACACAAACAAATCATCAGCGAAACAAAGGTGAGTTATGGCTAGGGGTTTACAACGAGGATGGTAAGGAATTTGATTATCACGAGCAGCTCTCTTCATTAGCCCATCCAAAACTTCCATAGCAACCGTAAACAAATAAGGTGACAGAGGGTCACCCTGTCTTAACCCTTTTTCATTCCAAAAAAACCACATAAGCCACCATTAAGCGAGACACTGACCATAGGAATGCAAACACAGGCTCTTAGCAAATTAATAAATTTCCCTTTTAAACCCATAGCAGCCAAGACATCAAACAGAAACTCCCAATTCACAGATTCAAAAGCCTTTATTAGATCAATTTTTACCACACACCGAGAATTGATAGTTTTTTATTGATAACCCTTAACCAACTCAGAAGCAAGAAGAATATTGTCGGTTATAGACCTACCTTTTATAAAAGCAGATTGTGAATGACTCACCAAGGAAGGGAGGATAGCAGTCAGGCGATTAGCTAAAATTTTAGCTATCCCTTTGTACAATGTATTGCAGCACGAGATAGGACGAAAGTCCTTCATAAGCACAGCATTCTGCACCTTAGCAACAAGAGTAAACACTGTAGTGTTGATTTTCTGAGGCATGTGCTCAGTCTGATAAAACTGTGAAACAATGGCATTTACATCAGCTTTGATCAGATCCCAGTGGAGAAGAAAGAATTCAATTGGGAAACCATCTGGGCCAGGCGCCTTGTCTTTACCCAACTGTTTAAACACTTAGATAGATCTCATCCTCTATGATTTCTCTATTAAGCAGCAGATTGTCAGAATCAGTAGCCTTATTAGTCAAAATAGACTCATAGTATGCCACAGAAGCTCCCTTGACATTTGGATCAACCACACCAATCAACTGAGTATACAAATCCACAGCTATCTTCCCCATTTGAAACACATCAGTAACATCAGCACCATTTTCATCCTTTAGAGTAGTAATTTGTTGTTTATGAGTTTTGATCCTTAATGCTTTATGAAAGAAAGAAGTGTTCATATCCCCTGTCTGGACCCACTGAGCTCGAGACTTCTGCTTGTAAAATAACTCTTCAGCCCGTTGAGCTTCCTGGCACTCCTTAGCCAGCACTGCCTCAACTTCAACATTAACTGAATTTGGATTCAGCAAAACTTCCGCTTGTAAGCTCTCCAGACGCCTCTCTAGCTCCCTAGCTTGCCCTGATATATCCCAAAAGACCTCTTTATTGAGCTTTTTCAGCCTACTTTTCACCTCTTTCAACTTCCCCTAAAACTGATAGTGAGGATAGCCATTCTGTGAAGTACCCCATGCTTCAGTGATCATATACAGATAGCCTGGATGAGAGCTCCAAAACTTGAAGTATTTAAACGGTTTAGGAACCGTTGCCAGCTTTGGGAAAGGCTGAAGTACCAATCCACAATGATCCGAAACTCCTGGTGGGAAAGTATGAGTTGTACTAGAATTGAATCCATCGAGTCAAACCTCATTCACCAAAACCCTATCTATTCTCTTAGCAATGGGATTATTTTTCTGCTTGTTCCACCACGTAAACCAGGAACCCAACACCTTGTGATCCACCAACTGCATCTCATCAATCCACCCTCGAAAATCCTTCATGCTTTGACTTATATCCACTATATTGGAAGAATCTGATACCTCGGCAATAGCATTAAAGTCCCCCATCACTGCCAAAGGCAAAGTAAGTTCCTTATGCACCAGTAATTCCCTATACAAGACTCGTCGATCCTGTTCCCCATTAGGACTATACACAAACAAAATGTAAGCAGGACTCAATCCAGCCACCATAATCTTCATAAAATGCTCCCCTTCATCAACTTTTGTTATTTGCAGACTTGACTTCCAGAAGAGCCACACCCGACCAGAATTGGATTTGCTATAATTTCCTACAAAAGACCACTCTGAAAATGACTTATTTACTATCTGACTACTATTATCTTTCACTACTCTTGTCTCTAGTATAGCTGCTATATCAATATTCAGCTGCCTCAACTTATGAAGCACAGCTGAATGTTTATCAGAGGTATTGAAACCTCTGATATTCCAACTCAAGATCTTCATTTCCCACGTTTCTTACCCCTACCTCTCCCCCTAGTTGGAGGTGGAGGAGGAGGAGCTTTAGAAACTGATTTGGACTGCTGCAATGATGAAAAATTAGTCGCATCCAAGAAAGGTTGCCTGTGCTCCCCAGCAGTCACTGCCTGAGTAGATCTTCTCTTCCTATTTTCCACCAGTGTGAATCCATCCGCATCCACAACAGGCATGACACTACTCATCGGAGGAGTACTCACACTAGCAGTAATCATGGCTCCAGGAGATGGCATAACAGTCCCCTGAATCACACCAGAACCACTAGATTCTTCAACACACTGAACCACCTCTTTACCCTTATCCACACCTGTAGGGTGTAATGCTCCCTCCACTACCTTCATAACTCTCCATTCCTTCACTGGAGCCCCCCTCAGGAACAACACAATCACGACCAAATTCACCACACTTAGCACACAAGACAGGCAGATTACAATATTCCAAATTCACCCACAAAGCATTCATCCCATCAGGCTTCATGTCAAGTTTAGTGATTCACTTTGCCCGTGCAGAAATTTCAACACAGACCTTCGCTATCCCAAGCTTCGTCCCCCTTCGTGTAGGAATATCCATACACAAAGGACGCCTGATCGAACTAGCAATTCTACCCAGACCTTCCTTGTTCGCAAACTCTGTCGGAAGATTAGTAATCCTTACCCACACCGGAATTTTTGAGTTGTCAATCGCAAGAGGTTGAATGCCTGGCTCACACTTCCTTAGAAACAGCATGTTATCCCGATGGTGCCATGGACCGCCCTCAAATACCCACTGGCAAATTTCAGCCGACGGAAACTGGAATAGAACAAGCTTGTCTCCAAGCTTCGATGTACGCACTTCTCCATCTCTTCCCCATAACCAATTGGCCCAGAATCTGATAGCGAAAATTGAAGCAGGATGCCCTAGAAATTGTCCAACGAGACTGTGAACCCATCGTTTAAACCCCTGTTCAATCACCGACTTTGGAATTCTTAGCGCTCCATCGATGAATTCAGGCTCGTAGTAATCAAGTCTACTATCCGGTGCAATCCCAAACAATGAAACCCAAGGGCTACCGCCACCGACGGCTCCCGATGGGGCACCGTCAGTGGCGACCGCCATCGAAATTGATGTAACCCTCGTTCAGAGGAGGAAAGAAGAGAGAGGAAAGGAACGAACAATTAAATATAGTTATATTTGTCATTATCAGGAAAATTGGTTGTAATGATGAAAAATTCTTGCTATACAATTATATTTTGCCTATAATTTTTAATACACCATTTCAAAGCTTGAAAACCACCCTTACTAACACGTTCTTTCAAAATCCCAAACATGTTGGATAATCTTCATAATCCATGGGATTTGGATGTTGTATTTGATCTCCAAATATCAACCATAATGTATTTTGCCCAAAGCCATTGTTTGTTAAGGTATGCAAATCTGTGGGGTCCACGAATTTGGACCATTTTTTTAGCTCCAAATCCGTGAACCCCATGTATTTGCAAATACCACATTTCATTTGGTATTTGCAAATACAACATTATGGAAGGCAAATTTTTGAGACCCAAATACCAAATGAATCCATGATAAAAATTCAGCTAAACAAACAATGTTATCTTTCAAATACAAAATGCAACAAATCCATCAAAGCCAAAATCCTTCATTTTAAAATCCAACAAGCAAACGAGCCTGTTTCAATGGATCTTGTTACTTGCTTTGTTTGTGCATATGCTAGAGAACATAGATGCATATACAATACAAATAAAAGATAAAATAAAATAAAATGCTTCATTAAGAATAGAAAGGTAATTTCCTCGATGAATAAATCTAATTTTCCAAAATCCATTATTAAATCCTATAAACAAACGTGATATTTTTTTTTTGGACATAATCCTATAAGCAAACAAACCTCCTAGAAGCATAGCCAAAATAGAAATAACCACACCCCAATATGTTGTTTCTGAATTTCTGGGGAGTTTCCAAGGGAACACATCAGCTGCTTTCCTTGGACATTGTCCCAGAATTGTTTTTCTTTAAAACAAACAAACATTGTCCAAACAATTGAGGGGACAATCTCTGATAAAGTCACGCAACACACTGAAGTCTATAAATCAGAATGGTTCGAAAAAGAAGAAGGAATAAATAAGGTGGAAAACAATTAATTTGTTGACTTTCTACCTACCTATATAAAAGCCCTTGATCAACTTTCCAGCCCTCCCAATTAATATTCTATTTTAGTATTTTACACACTGTTGATTAGCATGCAGGTATTGGGGGGAGGAATCCAAGAACATATAGCTTGGGAGACAAGTCTTTCTTTTGGAACTAACAACATAGAGGGCATGTCGGTTCATTATGTGAATTAGACTTATCCCGTCAAAGTCAGATTTTTTTCCCCCAAAGGAATTTCGCGTGGAGGAGATAACAAGATACAAAATATGTGTATAAGGTCTTTGCAAGTCAAATAACAAAGGAAAAATAAGAAATAAATGTTGGACAATCCAACGATAAGAAGGTTTTTATGTTTTTTTGCCACAATATGGACAAACTTATCATACCTACGCGCATTGACAGAATCCATAACAGAGCTTCAATTCTTTTTTCAGAGTGAAAATCATGAATCGAATCCAGAGTGTCGTAAAAGCAATGCAGCGAAATCCTACAAAAATAAATAAATTATATAGTTCTCTCTTGCAAGCTTCCATCAAGTACAACTACACACAAGTAAGATCAATTCTGTTGTTAATTATTGAGAAAAACATTTCAGTTCATTAGTAACCAAGTTGCGAAAACTTTCTGGTTTCGGTCACAATACAAGACCAGAAAACTGTATCCGAAATGGCAGCTCTCAAGAATTGAATATACGAAACAAGAAAAGAAACAACATTGGGAACTGGGAAGGGGAACCAAATTTGATTTGGACAATGAAAGGAGAAAGCAGCTTTTCCTTCCGTTCTAATTTTATTCATTGCTTCCAGGAAACGAATAGCCGCTGAACCTTTTTTTCCTTTCTTATACAATGGGTGGATTGCCCCTCAAGAAATCGGATTAGATCGGATTTCTCTAAAGTTAAAATTCAATTCACTGACTGAATTTCCAAAAGAACTCCGATATAATATTTACTGGATTTTCAAAGATTAAATACAATCTAACACAACGAATACTCACAACAAAAATGCATTGGTAACCATGTCTTTATAGATATAGCCGTAAATAATTTTTTTCATAATATTATTGAAAAAATTATTAAATTATCAGAACTATAATAATAATGTTATTAAACTAACAACACAAATATGATTAAGCTTTTTTTATAAGGGTAATATAGATTTTTTTTGTGTGATTAAGGTACTACTTAATAGATTCGAACCTGGGACCTCCAGGTTTTAAGCTAGTGGTATTACCACTACACCAAATGATTTCGTAACAGGCTATGAAGTCGTCTTCAATTGTCATCCTCGTTGCCTCGTGAGGTTGGGGGGTTTGAAGCAGTGTCCATTAAACCGTACCGTACCGGCGGTTCAACCACGAAATACCAGTATCGGAGGCTAAACCGATATACGACATTTACCGGTATAACAGTTGAACTACGGTTAAACCACGGTTTGACCATAAAATACGCTACCGCTGACTTTCCCAATACGGTCTCCGGTACGGTTTCATGGACCATACTTTGAAGTGGAACCCCACAAAATAATGATGATTAGAAAGGGAAAATGCCAAATCCCCCGCCTCAATATACCCACCAATGGGAACCACCTTTCCTCTTTTGCCAAAAACAAAAGGTCAATTTAAAAATGAAGAAGAAAAGCGGGTTCGATTCCTTTCCATGCAATTTTTATATAGTTTGTTCCAGCCATTCAGAAAACTCTGCCTCTCTCTCTCTCTCTCGCTCTCGGGCTCTTCGCCCTACTCGTTCCTTTTTTCCACCTTTTGTTGTTTTAAGGAGAGCAAAATCTTGGAAATAAAGCAGAATTTGTATAATATTAATATTACTGAAGGAGGAGGAAAATGCAATCGAAAAGGTACCTGTGTACGTCATAGACCAAGTCGGAGGCAGCAGCAGCAAGCCAAGCATAGACCTTTCCAGAGTGAAATGCGCTCCAATTGCCAACTGTCGTGATTTTGAAGGCCTTTCTCTTCTTTCCTCTTGTTCTTTTCTCCTTGTTTATGCTCTCTCTTACATAACTCTCCCTCCCTCCCTCCCGCCCAACTTCTCCTCCTTTATTAAACCCTCTTCTCCTTCACCAACACCACCAGCTTCCTTCCATCACTCCTCCTTTCTCCCCTCTCCCTAACTCAACTCAACCCCTCTTTTATTTCGTCAAACCATGCTCAAGACCACCAACCCTCCTCTGTTTCGCCATTACGAGCAGGTTTCCCACCTCTCGCCTTCCGACCACCATCCTCTCCCCGCGGCCTCACCACCAGTTGCTGCAATGGAAGAATGCCAGCTGCCCCTGATAGACCTCAGGGGTCTCGGCAGCCGCGACGAGAGGGAGAGAGCAGCTTGTGCGGCTGCAATATGCAGGGCCTCGTCGGAGTGGGGTTTCTTCCAGGTCGTCAACCACGGGATCAACCCGGGGCTTGTTAGGAAGATGAGGAGCGAGCAGTCCAGGCTGTTCCGATTGCCCTTCGACGACAAGCTCACTGGCGGCTTGCTCAACAATTCCTACAGATGGGGCACGCCCACAGCTACCTGTCCCAAGCAGTTGTCATGGTCCGAGGCTTTCCATGTTCCTCTCTCCAAGGTCTCCCACAAGGACTGTTACGGAGACAACTTCACTTCTTTAAGGTAATTTCTTTTCGCCACTTACTTCTTCATCCTGCAACACCCTGCACTTCAGCTTAACTAAGAAATGAAAGAAGCACAAAGAAAAGAGAGAAAGAAAGAAAGAAAGGGGGGAAACAGAGGATTTCGCACTTTACCAACGCAACAAACTCTGATGTTCTCTTTTTTTTTTCCTTCTCTTCCTGTTTTCTTCATCAGGGAAGTGATGGTGGAATTCGCAGCAGCAATGGCCGAGCTAGCTGGAACACTTGCAGGGGTCTTGGTAGAAAACTTAGGCCGTTCAAGGGGGGATTTCGAAGACATTTGTCAAGAAAGCAGTTGCTTCCTGCGCCTCAACCGATACCCAGCCTGTCCGACTTCCCCAGAGGTCTTTGGCTTGGTGCCTCACACTGATAGTGATTTTCTCACCATTCTGTCTCAAGATGAAGTTGGGGGGCTTCAGCTCATGAAGGATTCCAGATGGGTGGCTGTAAAACCTAATCAAGATGCACTCATAGTCAATATCGGAGATCTTTTCCAGGTAATAAAAACATACACCTGCTGCCAGCGTTTCTTTATTATAATCAAACTTGCCTCAAATACCGGTGCAATGGGATTAATCCTCAGGTGCCACCATTTCACATTCATTCTTGATAAGCAAATCCTGTAAACAAAGCGGACCATAATAGTAAATAACAGTAATATGAGAGGAAATCATATGCTTGTTCTTACACAAATAATTTGGTCATTATTCTGTCGTGTTAGTTTTGTTGCCATTCTCTCTGTTTTTCCCAACTTCGCCTCCCTGTTTCTGTCTTAAATTAGTTTCCTAATATCTTCGTTATGACAATGATAACCGCAGGCATGGAGCAACGACATTTATAAGAGTGTGGAGCACAAGGTTATGGCCAACGCTAAGATGGAAAGGTACTCTATTGCCTACTTTTTGTGTCCTTCGTACGAAACATCAATCGGGAGTTGCAGAGAACCATCCAAGTACAGGAAATTCACTTTCGGAGAGTACAGGAGCCAGATTCAAGAACAAGTCAAGAAATATGGCTATAAGATAGGCCTACCAAGCTTTCGGTTATAGCACAGAAAATCACAGACACCATGTGCAAGCAGGCAGCTTCTACATGGAAGGAAAATATATGTAAAGAAGAACTCGAAAGCAAACAGTTCAGGGGCTAGCCTAAGTTACACAAGAACAAACATCCATCCAAATTTTAACGGTCATTGGTCACTGCAGATGTCTATACCTTATCAACCTTTGACACACACTAGCCAAAACTCCAAAAGTGAGGTGTATAATATAGTACAAGTGTAGAACATAGCCATAGAATGTAACTTGGGTAATATGTATGCAGTATTTGTTGCAGCAAATTGATTCGTGTAGAGAATAATGTCAATTAAGATTAGAATAAATTATAGCATCCTTTTCTTCCCTTCCACATGCGCGAGCAAGAAAAAACAGATATCAAAACCACCCACACGTGGATATGGACATGTGAAAGCAGATTGTTGTAAGATTGCCATTGGGCCTTTGTCATCAACTGTAAGAAAAAAGGACACAGGTGCAGATAATAAAAAAAATCACAGCACTAAAAATAAAGTATTTTGAAGCAAACATTTTCGTGCATGATTCAGCATAAGAAAACCGACAAGGAATGACAGACAAAAAAAAGAACAGCAGAGAAGAGAATCCACTCTTACATTCTTCTGAAATAAGGGAAGTTTGACTTCTTCCTGATACCAAGCCGATTTCTTCCGGAGTAGTTTTAGTGGGTTCCCACAGAGGTTGGAATTCTTGAGAGAAAGGATAAAAAGAAACTTCGTGAATCCACCCTTATTCCTGAGTGCAAACTGATTCATCTTCTGAGTTGCGTTGTTAACTTCAGTAGCCTTGGTACCTTCGTAAAACAGTTGGAGTTTCCCCAGGGAAACAAGGGGATAGAGAAGAGAAAAAGAACCTCGGTCAAACCGTCTACAGATATAACGCAAATCAACATCTACAGCGCACGTACTGCATAGTAAACACCGCAAACCAGCCGGCTGTGGTTACTTCTATGAAAAGGAAGGCTTCACATTTGATTTTAGTTGCATGAGAAAAATATTATTCTATATTAATTAACAAGGCACTGATGAAAGAGGCATTTTAAAACATGATAATGATGATCTTTCTGATAATACCTGCCTAAACAGAGAGCCACAGCAGTCATAAGCTGATCAAGCATCACCCAGTGAACGTGGAGATGATCATCATATAACATGTGAAAATCGCATAATGAGAGCACACACCGATAGTTAGATGATCTGCCTGCAATGGACGAAAACATTAATGAAAAATTCATCGTAACTAAAAGTAGAAAAATTAACAAGCAAGGAGCTCTTGACACGACAGCCCTGATGATTATAATGATGCATACTTATCGTTATGCAGTAAGCATGAGGAAACGAAACACGAGCTGGGTGCCAAAGTCAAGTGACATCAATGGATGTTACAAAGAAAAATCCAAGCACTTTGGAAATCAATATCCAAGAAGAAGGAAATAGCAAGAAAGCTGGGCATCTTTTGGAGCAAACATGTCTCATATTATGTTAATCTGAAAAGTCTGTCTGAAACAGATTGTTCCTGCAGGCACAATCTTCGTCCTTCTTGTCCTTACATTGACTAGCACTTCATACCAGCATCATTATTAAAGATCCCTTAACCTGCAAATGATTGCCTTCACAATCCAAGCATCAATTGGCACAATTTAATACTCAAAATGAAAACCCATCTGAAACAACAAGCAATGAGTAGCATCCATCCAATGACTAGGAAGAAGGAAAAAGATGAGGTACAATGGCTGACCAGAGGCACTTGAACTGTGTAAAATCAAGCACAATGCGGTGATAGTTTCCAGAAAATAGTCATTGGGTGCTCTATAATTTGCAGAAAATAGTCATTGTACTCTCTGTAAATTCTCAAGCATATTAAAATGAAATGCTAAGGGATCATGCTTCTGTCTACAAACCTCAGAAATCTGCCCATATTTCCTTTGTCAATCCAGAGACCTGTAAAATAAGAGGCGTTGGCAAATGTAAAGCTGAGGAGATGGTTATCGTCGTGATTGAATCCCTATTATTTATAATTCTATCACAGAACCAATGCTACAAACCCAACACGCCAAATCATACTGTAAATCATCTTGAGCATTGAAAAACATATTGATAGCCAAATTAAGATAGCATTCTACCATGTGCTCATAGAATGCTGATCTATAGTAACCTAAGACAAGAGATACAAGAATACATGATTACTTCTGCTCCAGCTTCAATACAAGAATTGCATTGCAAGATTTAACTGCTCCAAATTCCTTACTACAATATATATATATTATATTATCCAAAACCTTGGGATTCTAGGACAGGCATCAGCTGTCAAACAAGCAACAGAAAGCTTGCTCCGGGAAATCCAAGATACTAAACAGTACCACTATAACAGATGCACTTCATACAGTTTGTAGTAGCGTATCACTGTGAGCTGTGATTGACAGATATAGAAAAGGGTATGCTCTTAGGTTGAGGACTGGCACAACAGAGCCCAGATATTGATTGCAAAGCAATAAATGATCCTGTAGTTAGTCTGGAGACGCTATCCATTGCTTACAAGTAACAGTCTAATGCACACATTGTAACAAAACTAATTAAACCATGGGCTATCCATTTTTTTTTAAACTCACTTTGTGTACATCGGAAGGAAACTGTAAACCACAAGAGTAAATCCAAAAAGACAGCAGAAATTCGACATGCACTAGAAAATGAACTAGAAGGTCAACAAAAGCTGGCTTGTCAAAATCCAGTACAGCAGCGAAGAAAGGCCACAATCTACTCATGCAGGTGTTACTGCCAAATAGTCATGGTGACAAACATGTAAAATTACATCAGGCGATTCAGTGGCCTTCAAACAATGTCAAGTCGGTATGCTCAGCTTCACGGGACATAACACTATACCGTTGCAACATTAGGAAATCCTGTCCTATTCAGTTAAGTAACAGGGATACCTTGTCTCTAAGACTGCTCTTCTTCTTTTCTTTCAATGGAGGGACCGCTGCTGCCTCAACATGATTGTGAGAATGCCTCATTGCATCAAAAGCAAAGTCCAAATCCATTCTGCTTGATACATCGTTCTTTTCATTCGTAACCGGTTTCGCGAGCAAGGGGCCTAGAAAGAGATGCAGCATGTCCTGCGCAGGATCCCCTGCTGTGCTGACAGTTTCGGGGATTTGTTCTGCGGTCGATTTCTGCATTGAGCTACAAGAAGCGTTGGGTGAATTGTGCTTATTAACAGTAACACCGCCTTGCAAATCAATCCCGGAAGAGACGGCTCGTGATCGCCGTTCTCCCTTGATAGACGGATTTTTCTCTGATCCAACATCGTTAGCTGCTCTGACGTACTACACGGAAGCCCGGAAACAATCGGAACATTAGGAAATCAATTCTAATCCCTAAAATCACCATATACTGAAACCACAACAGTTCAAAGAATTTCGAATTGGGCAACTCACCTCCTCGGCGATGGCGACTAGGTCTTGAACCGTGAGGAGGCGATCGTCCCCCGGGGGCTCAACTGTAATTGAGACACCATCGCCGCCGGGAGTAGTTTGAGAAACTGCAGTTTCGCCTCGATCGGCTTTCTTTCTCTTTTTAGCGTTGCCGTTCCTCGGGGAAACCTTGAGATGCCCTCCCTTGCTCGTATTGGTCTTGGGTTGTTGTTCGTCGGCATCGCTGCTAGCAGCAGGCGGCGGGGTAGTGAGCATCCAAGATGGCAACCGGCGTGTGCTTTCCGCCATAGTTAGCCAAAGAGTACGGCAAGAACTTGGAGAGGACGACGGAATGGCTGTGCTCGGTTGAGGTCTACCTCCTCTTTGATCACCGTGGATGATCGAATTTCAGACACTGGACTTGTGTTGTTTCAAAGGCTTTGAGTTTTGAGGTAAGAGAAAAAAGAAAAAAAAGAAAAGGGGCGTTCCGAGAATTGAACTCGGGACCTCTCGCACCCAAAGCGAGAATCATACCACTAGACCAAACGCCCATCCATGATCCATGTCTAAGTTGTTGCGATTTCTTTATTGATCGTTTAAGCGAAGAAATGGGAAAAAAAAGTAATGGATCTTTTCCCTCTTTTGCAAAGTTGTCAAACAGGTTTGTAGCGTTATGTCGGTTTGGCACATAGTATGGTCCGATTGCTAGTGAAATCCATTTATATTAGTTCATGCCGATTTTATTTAAACATGTAAATAAATTTATGTGTATATATATAACATATTCGTAGACAATCTCTAAAATATATACATTCATATTTAAATAAAATAAAATAAAAATTCAAACAAAATGAAAATTATTCAGATTTAAATACATCATTTAACACAAAGATCCAAAATTTTATACTTGAATCAAACAATAAAATAAACATCTAAACATTCATACTTGAATAAAAAATAACATCAACATTTAACTTTCAAATTGATATTCAAGAAATAAAAATAATAATTAAAGAGGAATTTTACAATGTTATATAACATAAATGCTATAATTTTTGCCTTTATAGTACAACTTGAAATTGTACCTTTAACGTTATGGTACAACTTCAGATTGTACCCATGCGAAACGAAGGGCGCCACAGGCGCCAGTGATTCTTTGAGCATGTCTGGATTTCCAACGAGGCATAGCTTTTATAGCTGTTTTATCTGCCTGAAGTCGTGTAGTTCGTTTGTCGCTACTTTCTTAGGGTTAGCATTATGCCTGCTGTTGTCCTTGGTCGGAGTCTCCGCTTGAAGGTGATAAGCAGTGCTCATATTTAACTATGTACCATGCATCCGAAAGAGGTAAGGAGAATTGAAATTTGGTGGCTATGGTCCAAATGAAGTTTCACTTTTTTCAACAACGATGATGCCTTTCATGGACGGCTAAGAAGGCACTACTCAAGGCAATTTCAAGTGCGCTTCATATTCATGTAATGTAATGCATTCTACTCTCTATATCATTGGGTCAATCTTTGGATATACACTTGGCACTTTTTGGTGGGGGCAAATTGGCAAAACATGGGAAAATGCACATTCATTAGGTTGTTTGGAAGTTTATTTGTTTTAGTAAACAAGAAGGGGTATGAGATTTAGATAATTTGAGGAATTTAATCAAGCTCTTCTTCTTGGCAAGTAAAGCTAGTGGTTATTGAAAGAAGCATATTCTTTGTTGGATAGGATCTATAAGGCCAAGTACTTTACAAATTCCTCTTTCTTCGAGGCTAGCCTAGGTTCCTTTACCTTCACGGGGTTGGCACGTACACGTTGGGGAGTTCATGGTCGTGAATTTCTTCAACATGAGATTAAGTGGCAAGTGGGCTCGATAACTTATATCAATATTCTATTAGATAACTAGGTCCCTAACTTGCATCTAAACCTCCGCAAACCTTGCCTAAGGCTATGGGATCAGGGTGTGGTGGCTTCCCTTGTTCATCCACACATAGGGATGACAATTTGAACCATACCGGTCGGGTAACCTGCGACGGGGGCGGATATTATCCGATTCACAGTTGCATGTGGCGGGCCATGGATATCTAATTTCGACCTATCCCGCCTCGTTCTTGGCACATTCTATCACAATTTCTTACAATATCTATTCTTATTTCTCCTATTTTGATTTTTCTTGAGCTAGTTAGATTTGACTTTTCAACTAGTTAGACCCAATTACCTATTCTATTATCACTATCTTTCATTCATAAAGTGGTTTCCTCTTCGTTTTGTTGTAAAAAGTAAAATTTTCGATGTATTTTTTTCAAATAACATGTAAGAGTGGGTCTACCCACCTCGACCAGAAGTAGCGTGGGGTGAGACATGGGTATTGAGGTACCCGTCTTGTCCCACTACAGCTATTCTGCACAGCCATGGCCAACGCTACCATGGGTATCTCGTTGTTGGTGTCCCTGCTGCCACATTGTTTGGTGTGGAATGGTCAGTCAGCATGAGTTTATACGATATGGCTTTTGTATAATTTGGCAACTGAGTTTCATCATATGTGAGAATCGCGGTATAAGACGACAATGTCATTGATGGCAATTGGTTTTGTGATCTACTATTTTGGCCATGTCGATTCAACCCAAGTTGCCGTTCTTTCTCTAGCAACGTTCCAACGAGTTTTGCCCACATGATGTCCTTTTGTATAGTTCTTCATAAATTTCACAAACAGGCACACTTAGGACGAATAAGGAAGCAAATATATGGACTTTAAAGAAGCAAATCAAGAAGCCCAGGAGGCAAAATCAGAGCGGCGGTGGTCCAGACCAACTCGACTATTACAAGCGCACTTCTACACTTACCCTGCATCTGCTGCAAAATGATACTCCGCCCTTTTCTTTCTTTCTTTCTTTTCTTTCTTTACTCCCATAAAATCATCAAAGTATGATCAATAGGTAAGTACACACATGATACATGACATTGAATGCCAAGAAGATCCAGAGTCAATGGTTGGGGGGAGGCAAAAGAAAGAAAAGGGTAGTTAATAAAATCAAACACCAAATGAAGTTGCCCAAATCATTTTTTCTACTTACATACACCACCAGACCTGCTCACATACATAATTAACCTAGTCAATCCACCTTTATCAACTCCCTCATCAGCTAACACCTTGGCTCTTGCTTCAACTGCATCCCGCCAGGCAACCCAAACATCATTGACTGGCACACGCCACGCCACACCAGCATACCACAAAAGGCAATTACAACATCAATATTCATATAAAATATCACGTCTTTGCTCGACATTTAGTTGTATAGTCATGACAGCAAGAAATTCGACGGTTTTACCTGAGCTGTAGTAGGCAATAAACTATTTGCAAGATCGTCATTTATCGATACAGGTAGCGGTGGCATCTGGCTCATTATACCAGGCATTTCTCTCATGCTGCAACATCAGCAGACGACTGAAGAGATCAATGTGGGGTAAAAAAAGAAGAGCAACAGGCTGTATTAACAACTGTTTCCAAAGTGTTTTCAAATCCACATACTCGTTCAATACTGCTGTGATATTGTTCCTCGTGCGACAGAAGAGATCAATGTTCTCCTGAAACTGTTTGGTAAATTAATAAACGAGATATTCAAAAATAATTCCCTTGTGATATAACACTTTCTTTTTCCTAAGCAGTGTAACAATCTTCGTGAACAGCAAAAGGGCACCAACAATAATGCAGGGACCATCATATTGCAAGACAATTAACCTCTGTTAATGACATAAATATCATACTTTTAAGGGAAAGTACTATATTTTTAATGCATCATCAAGTACCGACCCCTAAACTTTTCATCGAAAAAAAAAACTACCGGCCCCTAAACAAGACGCATCGGGTGTTCTTGTAGGCTGAGATTGAAGTAATGGCTGTCATTTCATTAAGCTCTGCTAGAGTACGGAAGGTATAAATTAATACGCCCTCCACACCACTGCCAACTGCTACAACGCAGCTTCAAGCCCCAAAAGTTTATATGTAACTCAGAGAGAGAAAGATGCGCTTTATTTGTTATATAGCAACATCACAAAACTTCACAATTCTATCCAGTTGACCTAGTTGGAAGCCATGCAAATCTAACAGTCAACGTACCAAAGGCCCGAGAAAACCACACCAAGGGCCTGTCTTGGTTGAACTTAACTTGGAAAGAAAGCATAACTAGTGACAGTATTTTTCCCTTCTCAGAGGCTATTTCTGGCCTCTTTTGTAGATACCATCTTACCTACGAATCAAATCATGCATAACAGGAACATGATGGAAATTTAACGTGGCTAACAGAACCCAATAGGAAGTCCCTAAATAGCTAAGTGGAATCAGGTGTGAAGTACCAAAAAATATCTTGCAGATCAAGAGAATCACCAGTGCCCTTTCCTTTTACCAGGAAATGCAGCAAAACAGGATGTGCAGACATAAATAACACATTAACAGAGAAGGGAAATGGAGAGAAGGAGAAAGAAAAAAGAGGACCCTAAGAGATTATACAAGAGTAGAGACACGGTAAAGAAAGAGATTTGTCACCTTGAATGCAGAAAGATTAGCTGATATTTGGCTAAAAGCTTGAATATTCTGCTCCAACAGATGTCTAGATGTACCGCTTATTCCTGAAACTGAAAAGTTATGTTAAAACTAAGATCATTCACAACGCAAAACGAAACAGCCAGATGAAATACGCAGATCATCCAGGAAATGACAACCCTTCAAGATGAAGGGTTCAACTAACAACATACACTAGCCTACCAAGAAAACAAATATGAAAGCTACGATTGCTGTTGCCAGCCATTACGGGCAACTTCAATCTTATTCTTGTCGGTTGCTGATTTAAGCATACATAATCTGGTCAAAAGTCAGCTGGATGGGAAGGTCTCTTACGTGCTATCCCAACCTATCTAGCTGCTTCCAGGTCACTGACAATGTTACCAATGGCCTGGAGTCATTCTCAGAACAAAAAAGTGATGTATATATATATACACACACACACACACACAGGAATCCTTTGATATTCCTATAGTCTTACAACAAACACTGAAATATGCCTTGTACAGCAGAAACTATTTACAAATCCAATTATTTTAGTAGAATTCTGAGCTGTGGAAGATGCCCTCAAACGTCCTACCAGAAAAGTCGGAGATCTAGTTTAGGTGAATAACGAGTTCTCTACAAGTAGAAAATTGTGGTGGTCGATTATTGAGCAAACTTATGGAACAAACCATCAAACAAATTTAGAGAGTCCTATGTCCCATTGAATTGATTTTGAAAATCTACCACAGCACAGCTCTGTAAATCTTTCCTTGCATCAGAAAGAAAATCGCAATCCCATCACCTCCACCTGATAGACCAATACTGGACATTTTTTTACACCATCATATAGATGAATAGTAATTTTTTCCTCTACTGATGTTATAAAGTACAATCATTTGGAGAATGAATGAGACTGAATATTCGTAGTTGTCTAATTTACATACTAAAACAGAGAGAGTGTGTGTTTGACTCCATTCATGCATCAGCAAAACATTACCATACAGAAGCAAGCAACTACTATGTGTACTTGGAACACCTCATTTAGACATGTAATATTTTACAAGCACAAGCCAGAAAAACTTAAGTAAAATCTGATGAGTGTCACAGGAACAGCAGCAGCACAGAACACAATCATTAGTAGAAATTGATTGCACAGCGAAGTGAAAGAAGCGAGCAACAAGAAAAATAGACTGCAGCCTAAGATAACAATAACTAGAACTTATATATACAGACATAACACTAAGTGGTATGCAGAAGAATTTTGAGAAAGTTCACACCTTCAAAAGGCAAAGATGCAGTCTGGTTCATGTTCTGCATCATCAGAGGGTAGACTGACAAGTTCTGTGCCAGAGGCGAAGGCACAATCATCTTTGATGACGACTCCACTAGTTTTTCCTGCATAAATGTGCTAATTAGGATAGTTGTTCTTTGATGTATAGTAAAAGCATAAATATGATAACAAACAGATATAAACTGTGTCCCTTTTTCGTTTCATGAAGTGTGGAAGTGAGACAGCTGTACATTCAGATAATAAGCCAGTGGCCAGTTCACATAGTACGCTACTTAGTTAGTAGCGTAAAAACAAGTGTTACATATAAAGGTTCAAACTCTATTATCAAGATTCAATCTGGAAAGAATCCCAGAAAATCTTCCATTGGGAAACAAGGTCAAAACACAGGAGTATGAATAAATAGCAGTTTTACATTCAGCTTTTCATACTTGGAGCAACAAAGAGAGCTCATTAAGGAACTACCCTTCAGGAACATAAGGTCACACAAATTAGAGATCCAATACCTACTCAAATAACTATTTCCATTCACATCATTACAATGTTAACAGTACCCAGGAAACACATTTTGAATCAGTTCATCATAATTCAGAAGCATGTAGTGTCCAGTATCCACATTTACACCGAACAAAGAAACTATTTCACATCATATCAAATGCCACGTACCCTCCTATTATTGAACTTCTTGCCAGTAGTATAGTCCTCGGCTTTTCTTCGCTTTCGCTGCCAATATTTCAACAGTCACTTTCTTGATGAGGAAAAGCATATCTATGATAAAACTAACAAGGAATATAGTCTACCACGGATTCTACAGCACCTCATACCCTTCGATATGCGAAGAGGTGTTTTCAGCAAAAGAGAAATTACTGAACGATGACTAATACATTAGCTTCAGTTAATTCAGAAATGCAGATTCTCCTAAGAAACAGCCCTAGTGAATAGTACTCTGATCTCTAACAAAGTATCCATCCATAACATGTTTACACCATCACACTAGGCCAAAGCTCTAGCCTACAACCTTTGAATGGGTGTATTTCAGCAAAAGGATATACTTGATCGTTGCCTAGTGCATATGCACCACTAGATGCAGAAACATAGCCCAAAGCCAAAACAATACTACTCGAGCCTCTCTATCAGAGCTACCATCACGATAAATTTACCAATGTTTCTATGGCAGCAGCTCATAGAACAACATAAATGTGAAGAAAACTAGATAATAAGAACCTAAATAATTGCTCAGGTTCAACAACAATCAAGTGGCTAGCAAAATCTTGAAATGTTCATTTAAGAAGAGTCCTAACCAGACACCACAATTCAGAGCAATATTCAAACCAGTACATAATTGCAACCACTATGGTAAAAGGAACAACAAAATGAAGAGCGTACCGTCATCCATCTACATCTCAATGCAACATCTCTAACTGTTTTCTCAGGTATGGTGGCAGCAATCTTTATGTATCTCATAATACTTGGTTCATCAGAAAACCTATAAGTACAGTAAGAAACTGTGATGAAACAAATAACAGTGAACAAACACATACTAATAAAGAAATGACAACAATGAATGTGAACATATCAGGTAGTTGTAAACCCAGGATATATAATGAATTGCATATGTGACCACAACACCAGATTACTTGATGCCTGTAACGGCTTCCTTTTCCTTTTGACAGAAAACTGAAGGTCTAGGAAATTGGGAGGCACTGGCAGGAATTAACAGAAATTCACGTGTATTTGCTAGCTCAAAGGCCAAAAACCGACCTATATTAGACCGGACTCTGGCAGCAGCACAACATTTGGGAATTATTTAAGGAACTTGTAGAAAGACCAGTCAGTGGCTACCAAAAGTTGCGCCCTTTTCATTGCATCTTTCTCAGATGCCGGAATAACTAGTCTAGAACTGAGAAAACCACATCACGGAAACCTTCCCAAGTAAGGGAAATAAAAAAGCGACTTACTTTTCAAGACCCTCCTCCAACTTGTACTGCTCTTCAGCCGACCATTCAACAGCCAAGCCTGTGTCAGCTTTGAAGGAAGGAACAGAATCCAGAAGCAGAGAAGAAGCAGGAGAGTTACAAGATGGCACTTGAACCAATCCAGGGTTGCTGTTGTTGTTGGCCATGGTGGAGTTCCCGGGCATCACCATACCCATAGTAGTACAACTACTCATCCCGAAGTAATTTCCCATGGGAATCATCTCCGACGTGCTGTTAATTGCGCCTGATTGAAAAGATATTGCCCGCCCCCCAAGCACAGAGCCCAAGGTTTCGTCTCTGTGAAATCCCATGCTTGATTCAGTGGCTTCCATTTATCCGTTGTCCTAATTCACTACCAAACCTTAACAAACCAAAAAAGTTACCTCCCTGAAACTCCAACCCACATCTCTGGACAACAAAAAAAAGCCGACTTTTAGCAGAGAAGAAAGTGCTCAAACTGCTTGGAGATCACTCCGACAAAACCCTAAAGAAAAAACCCCCGTCACAAAAACTTTACTCGGCAGCAACGAGGACCACTCCCCCAGCAAAAAGGAAAACAGGAAACGAAGTTGGCAGCTCCACAAAATCAAACAGAAAGTTGTAATCCCACTTTTTTTTCCCTTTCTTTCAGAATCCCTGACGAACAGCTGCTAAAGCTCCTGCTGCTTCTTCAATCTTCATCAGCTAGTTGCCAAACTTCAGAGAGCCAGAGACCGATTGTTTCATTCCAAAATTCATTCATTTGGAGCCAAAATACAGAAAGAAAGAAAGAGGGGGGGAGAGAGAGAATCAAGCTACTCCTTCCAAATGGCAACAAATGAAAAGAAGCCCTAAACAGCTACAGAGACGACGAGGGGAGGGAAGGGAAGGGAAGGAAAGCAGTGGGATTCGCTTTCTGGGCTGAGCCCTAATTGGCTAATTGGGGGAGCTTATTGCGTTCGCTTTTTCTCTCTCTTCCCACTCTCTCTCCCCCTCCCACTCTTCTCCATGGCTTTGCCTTGTGACGAGCAAAGAAGAGAGCAAATATTTTCTGTGGGGGCAAAGATTAAAAAAGAAATGAAAAGGAAACGGGGGGAGATTAAACAGAGGAAGAATGTAACAATACAAATTTATTTTGAAATAGATAGACGGGAATAGAATTAGAAAATAGTGGGGAAACGAAATAAAATTCGGGGAGGAAAAAGGGAAAGAAAATGAATGATAATGTGGAGCATTTTATTTTTTTTCAGATCTTGGAATTCAGCACAGTGCGAATCCCCATAAGCATTTGATGCCAATTATTGTGCAGGTGCTCCCTCCCTCCACCTTTCCTTTTTGTTCTCCTTTGTCCTCCCAGCCCTCTTCTCCTCTTTCTTTCTTTTCCGTTTGCTAACAGAATCTTCGTTGGACATAAATGTATTTTCTCTAGGTGAGTATTGGTGTCAATCCGGTGGGATTGGGTTGGGTTCAACTGCGGACTATGAGTTAGTTGAATTGTTGATCAATCGGATAACGGATAATGTATGTTCGGGGTTCATCGGTTACATGTTAGTTGGGTTACGAGTAATTTGGGTTTGGGGATTGGGTTCGATCGGACTATTAGTTGAATTATTGGTCAATTGGGTTATGGCTCATTTATGTTCAGATTCATCGGTTACATGTTAGTTGGGTTACGGGTAATTCGGATTCGGGGGGTTGGGTTCAATCGGACTACGAGTTAGTTGAATTGTTGGTCAATCGGGCTACAAGTAATTTGTTTTCGGGTTTATCGGTTACAAGTTAGTTGGTTACTGACGGGTACATCGAATTGGGGTTTGTTTTAGGGTGGGAGTAACCGGGTTACGGTTTCATTGGGCTTTGGGTAGTCCGGTTAAGGTTTAATCGGGTTGTTCGGGTTACTAGTTAAGATTACTCTCACATGAAAATTCAAGATTCATATTTGAAATCACCAAATTTTTAAAACACAAAAAGGTTAAAAAGCACCAAAATTCCCCCTATTTCTCTTCCCAAAAAATTGAAAATATCGAAATTCTCCCTTCCTTCTCTTCAATAAATTAAAAGAAAAAGAAAACAAAATGTAAATTCTTCAAAATTGCTCCTTTTTTTTCTTCTAAAAATTGAAAACATAGTTAAGTATGATTATTTCGAATAAAAAAAATGAACAGAGATGGAAGAAGAGCGGTATGTTTCAGTGGGTTGGCGCATGGAATGGCATCTTAAAATTACACCAAATGTTAGAGTTCTCCTATAGCGTTAGGGTAGCAATACCCTTTTTACTGGAGGAAATGTGAGCTAACGAATCAGGGAAGCTTGTGATGAATGTTCATTTTGTGGGCTTCGATAAACTCAAGAACATATAACAAGGGATTGTGATTGGACAGGGAGAGTTTAGAGACCAAATTTACTGCAAAATTTGTTCAGATTGGGGAAAGGATTAGAATTGTGAAGGTTAGCTATGTGAAATAATGGAGAGAACACCAGATGAAGACCTAAGTTATTTTGCCATAACCATATGTTATATGTGGAAAAAAATGCAACAATCACTTGTTCAATAATCTAAAATTGGAAGACCGCGAAATTATAGCTAAGTCACAAGCTTTCATTGAAGAGTTTTTTTTATGTACCAAACGAGTGATGATGAGGGAGATTTGAATTGGCGAAGCTATAGATGGGTGAAGCGGGAACTGGGAATATATAAGCTTAATGTCGACGGAGCTATGTTGGGAACCGGTGGTACAGGCTTTGGACTGGTCATTCGATATGAAAATAGACGGTTTCAAATGGAAGTAGTGAGAAGGACACATGTGAGTTGGCCGCTGGAGCTCACAAAAGCACAAACTTCCCTTTTTGCTTTAAAGATGTCCGATGGTGGACCTGATAACACTGAATTTGCACATGTTTTTACCCCTCATTTCTTGATTGTTTAGCTTGATATTTATCATAATTTGGCCTATTTTATGCTAGGTTGTGTTCATTTATCACATTTCAGGTCCTAGCATGTAAAGTGAAGCATAGGCGCAAGTTTCAAGTCAATCGGAGATCAATTGGTGACTCGGGAGATGAAACTCGGGCATGACCTGAAGAACAATGGATTTCTACCTTATTTATGGACAAAGAATCATTCAAGCTTGTTATGAAAAGAAAGAGTACGAGACTACGAGCGTCTGGGATCAAAAGGCGACTGATTCGGAGTCCGAACGAGGGAGAAACGAAGCATTAGATATAGTGGAACAGGTTCGGCGGAAGAAACACGGGCAGACTACCCTAAAAACACGGTCGTGTTTCTTCTGGCACCTGCCAGTTTTTTTTATGTTGAGCCTCTCTTGTGAATACTGTTGAAGGGATGCAAAACGGGCATGACTAAACATGGCCATGTTCCCGACCATGTTTTTGTCCCTGCCAAAATTCGAGGAGCTGCTTGGCAAGGACCCATTTGTAGTGGCTCTTTGCCAGACCAAGGCCACATCGACATCGGTCCCTCTTGGTGGACGCGATGGTGGTCGTTCGATGCTGTCATATCTGGTTTGGGGTAATGAGACGAGAGAGGAAGAAAAGAAGAGGTCTCGCGGGTGGAGACTCCATATTCATCAAGTACATGAGCCTACATCACTTGTCATACCACATGCTTGTTACTTGAGACGCGATGGTGGTCATTCGATGCTGTCATATCTGGTTTGGGGTAATGAGACGAGAGAGGAAGAAAAGAAGAGGTCTCGCGGGTGGAGACTCCATATTCATCAAGTACATGAGCCTACCTTACTTGTCATACCACATGCTTGTTACTTGAGACTCCGCCTCACCGACGAGAACCTCAACCTTAAGGAGGTTCTAGCATGGACCGAAACTTAAGAGCCACCGTTCGACTCACGACGTGAAAGAAGCGCTTGTTGGGAGGCAACCCAACCAGTCAGTTTGCACTTTCTTTCCCTATTTCTCTTCGGTTGATTCAGTTTGTCTTTTGATTTTAGAGTCAATAACTCAAACTTTGTGAGATTTTGTGCGGTGTTTGTGTTCCACTGCTCTTTCTCTACTTTCTTCATGGAATGCACCGCATGCCCCATTCACCATCATTCACACTTGATATGGTAACTTCGTTCTACCCTCCTTATTTATCCTCCATTGAGGACAATGTCGTGCTTAAGTGTGGGGGGTGTTCCATTATGTTTGCGTGTGAATGTTTGGTTGTTTTTGTGTGCTTGGAGCCTAGTCCACTGTCCAATTTGATGAATTGAGGGCTCCAAGTACTGTTCCCTGCAATAACCTGCTTAGTATGCTTTGAATTGACAGACTTTATGATGATATGCAGCCTAGGGAGGTAGTTGTAGCACTATGGAGGATTTTGAAATATAAGATTTTTCCTATCTGTCTCTCTATTGTGCATGTTGATTTTGTGAGCTAGTGGATTTAGGACTGTTGATTCATGTGGTATTGATGACTCTCCTTATGTTGTGTTGTGGACTCGTGTATCGAAAATGGGCGCTCAATTGTGTGAAACGAAAAAGCAGTTGGTCATCCATGTCAAGCAAATTTGAAATTTTAAAACATGGGGTAAGCCCAACGTGTGTGGCACCGTTCATTGCACAAAATCGGGTTTTGGAAGAGATTTTAGTGATCCTTAGTGGGGTAGGCCTACAAGTTGAAGCTAAACCGTCTCTAGTAAAGTAAAAATTACACCCGTAGAATGGTTTGCCTACTAGAGGATGTGTTTTTAATGGCACGGATAGAGCTTCCGACCCCCCTTAATTTCATTGACCCTCCACAAGAAGTGAAGAATAGGAGTTAAAAGAAGTAATCTGGCGATCGACAGATATACAGAAATTGCTCTTGCTCACCTAATAAGGGCCGACCGCGCATAAAAACTGAAGTTGGAACCCTAGCAAAGTAAAACAAAAGGAAAAGAAACAAATAATAAGGAAAATGGGGGTTCCAACAAGTGAGATGTAATGAAAGAGCACCCGCTAGGAAGAGTCCTAGATTTTTAAATTGTGTGAGTCTCCTTATCCATGAATTGACTATCTTAGTTCCACTGTTATTCATGATCATGGCTTGAGTCTAGTACTCGCATTGAGAGATATAGGGGACGTCTTAGAAGACCAGTTGACCTCGTAAGTTGCTAATTGATCTAGGAAATCCTCTACCGACGATTGGGGTTGTTTGTTGCTATAAAGGTCTGGAGAGCTGCATTGGTTTGAGTCAAGTTTTCTTGGGGACAAGCAAACAGTTAAGTGTGGGGGAGTTTGATAACACTGAATTTGCACATGTTTTTACCCCTCATTTCTTGATTGTTTAGCTTGGTATTTATCATACTTTGGCCTATTTTATGCTAGGTTGTGTTCATTTATCACATTTCAGG